CATGGTATGGTATATTCTAATATAGAACCCTGCATAGTGTCACGGGCTTAGAGTTTCAGTACCACTCTAGCTGCTCCCGTGCGGCACCAAGACGTTGCTTTCACTCTCGCAAGTACTTGGTCAGCCTAACTCCCGTGCACACCTTAGCCAACACACTCCCCTCGTGCGCTTACTAGTGTTGTAGTTGCCCTCGCCCTCTCCTCACCTCACCTGGCTTGCACACTCACACACACTAAGGCACTTAAGTTGGCAAGGAAAGAACACTTCTATTACTTCAAAGAATGCTTTGTACAAGGCTAGCACTCAAGCTCTCTACAAGGCTCTCAAGACTCACTCTAGGACTTGTTGCCTACAAAATGAAGTCCTACCTCTATTTATAGGCATCCCCATCCCTAATGGACGGCTAGGATGCATTCTAACCAACGGTGGAGATTGATTATCTAGAATCTTCTCCCACCTTCTTCACACTTCCATACTTATCTACTAGTATCTACAACATTCTAGAATTCTCCATACTACTCCACACAACTCTGGAGAACTCTAGAACCTTCCACACACTTCTACACATTTCTACACATATCTAGAAACTTCCACATAACTCTAGACTATTCCGGAAGACTCTAGAAACTCCACTTGCCATGCAGTTGCCATGCAGCGTCCTCCTCAGCGTCCTCCTCAGCGTCTGTGTGTCGCCTGCGTGGCATAACCTCCATAGGCGGGGCGTGACATTCTCCCCCACCCATTTCCGTGACGCCCTCGTCACGGTTTCTTCAGCTGACCCAGCCTCTCATAGGTCATCAGCACTTGCGCATATGTCCTTGGCCCAAACGTACGAGCGCCCTTCGGGAGATGTGAAGTCCTCACGAGCTCCATCGTGTTGAATGCCACCTCTGGACTCTCCTTCCTGCCCACGAGCGGCACCATGCATGCGGCCTTGCCTTCCTCGCCTCCAAGTATCATCAACGCACCAAGGCATGGTAGTGGCGCGGCGTTGTTCCTGTCCATGAACTCCAGCCCCAGCACCATGTCGTGGTCGTCCATCTCCGCAACTTGGAAGTCAGCCTTGCCCTTCCATCCTTGCATGCATAGCTCCACCTCCTTGCACACTCTACTCACGCGTGCCTCCTCGGAGTTGACGGCCTTGATCCAGCCCTCCGTCTTGCGCATCTCCAAGCCAAGTCGTTGCGCCTCCTCCGGGGTAATGAAGTTGTGTGTAGCACCCGTGTCTACCAACGCTTGCACGGCTTTGCCACCAACCTGCGCATCCACATAGCGCACCCCAGCTACCTTCTTTGCCTTGCCCTTCTTCTTGGTGTCATGCGCCATGCTACTCAGCATCTGCATAGCCCCCATGCACCTATCTTCATCGCTGCCCGCATCGTCCACCCTGCCCTTGCCCTTATCCTTCACAAGGGCGCTCATGGTCTTCTTGTTGGGGCAGTGTCGCAATATGTGCGGCCCTTCGCACAAGTAGCACTTCGGCTCCCACTTGCCCTTATCGCGGCGCTCCCCTTTGCCACTAGCCTTAGACCTCTCTCCGTGGTCCTTACCTTTATCATGGCGTGGGCGTCTCTCCTCATCGCTGTGCTCATCATCGCTAGACTTGGGCGAGCCCCGTTTCTTGAAGCGCCGGTCTCCCCCACCTTTGCCGTGGTCCCTCTTGGGAGACATGGCCCTCTTGTCATCGCGCCTAAAGTCTTCGAGGCGCTCCGCTATAGCCATTGCGGATGCCAAGTCTCTAGGCTCCCTCCTCCTTAGCTCCATGGCCACCCAAGACTGCAGCCCATCAATGAACAAGCACACACGTTGCCGCTCCGGCATCTCTGGGATCTCCAGCATCAAGTTGGAGTACTCCTTCACATACTCCCTTATGCTGCCCTTCTGCTTCAGGCGCCTTAGGTTGATCATGGCGAGGTCCTCAACGCACTCGGGATAGAACTGCCTCTTGAGCTGCCTCTTAAACTCCTCCCATGTGTCAACTGCTCTTGCGCCTCTACCGGTGAAGCGCTGCCTCCACCATAGAGCGGCATTGTCCGTGAGGTACATAGTGCCTGTCTGCACCTTCTCCTCATCATCCTCGATCTCCATGCACTCGAAGTACCGCTCCATGTGCCAGAAGAAGTTGTCAATCTGGCGCGCATTCCTTGCCCCATCGTACTCCTTGGGCTCCGGCGCCTTCTTCTTCCTTGGCTTCACCACGACCTCGCGCGCCTGAGAGAACTCCTTCTTGCACTCGGCAATCTCCATGCGCAAGTCGTCTACCCGATCATGCAAGTCCCTTTCTTTCTCTTGCGCCTTGTTGGCGATGCCATCAATCAGCTCGTAGAGCTCCGCCATCCTTCTCTCGAGCCTATTAAACTTAGTCTCCGTGTAGACCAAGTGTGTGGCAAGCTTCTCCTCCAAGCTCTGCTCTAAGATGTGGACTTGGTGGTCTCCTCCGCTAGCCATGTCTACTCCAACAAAGCTCCCTTGACGAACCTGCTCTGATACCAACTGTCACGGGCTTAGAGTTTCAGTACCACTCTAGCTGCTCCCGTGCGGCACCAAGACGTTGCTTTCACTCTCGCAAGTACTTGGTCAGCCTAACTCCCGTGCACACCTTAGCCAACACACTCCCCTCGTGCGCTTACTAGTGTTGTAGTTGCCCTCGCCCTCTCCTCACCTCACCTGGCTTGCACACTCACACACACTAAGGCACTTAAGTTGGCAAGGAAAGAACACTTCTATTACTTCAAAGAATGCTTTGTACAAGGCTAGCACTCAAGCTCTCTACAAGGCTCTCAAGACTCACTCTAGGACTTGTTGCCTACAAAATGAAGTCCTACCTCTATTTATAGGCATCCCCATCCCTAATGGACGGCTAGGATGCATTCTAACCAACGGTGGAGATTGATTATCTAGAATCTTCTCCCACCTTCTTCACACTTCCATACTTATCTACTAGTATCTACAACATTCTAGAATTCTCCATACTACTCCACACAACTCTGGAGAACTCTAGAACCTTCCACACACTTCTACACATTTCTACACATATCTAGAAACTTCCACATAACTCTAGACTATTCCGGAAGACTCTAGAAACTCCACTTGCCATGCAGTTGCCATGCAGCGTCCTCCTCAGCGTCCTCCTCAGCGTCTGTGTGTCGCCTGCGTGGCATAACCTCCATAGGCGGGGCGTGACAATAGGCTGCATACATGTGTACCATGGGGTACTCTGTGTGGGAGAGAGAGAGAGAGAGTTGACAACCTCTAACTGATCATTAAAATCTAGGTTCTTCCAACACTTTGTTACCTGTTTTCACATTCAACGAACTTCAGTAACTCCTTAATTGGATATACTGTAACTGGTTGTACGATTAAGTTCATTTCCATGTTCTCGATCTTCTGATCCCATTGGATTGTGAGCCACATCAAACTCCTGTCCTGTGAATTCTTTTACTGTCTCTCTCTCTCTCTAAGTCCTCTTGACTTTCCCTAACTTTTCCAGCTCAATTTAATATAAGGTGTGGTGGTTGCAGGAGATATTTAAGATATGTAAGTGTCTCTGATTCCACATTTTCCAACTCTATTTCACTCTCATTTATTTCCTTTCCATGTATGTACATGCATTTATCACAACAAGTACTCAAGTGGAAAAATTAAGCAGGTTCATTACAAAAAGTCAAATTGTATAATATGTTCATTCATGTGTGATGTGAGATATATTCACATAATCTTATTTCATTTTTCTTTTTCAGTCTCATAGAAATTCACTTTCTTGACTAAGTTTTTCTTTTCCTCTTTAATTTTTCTTTTCTCATACTAGAACTAATGTACGGACCTACCAACGCTAATGCATTGAATTTAGGGATGACAAACGGGTGAATTGAGTTGAGAGTTGGGTTGAGAGAATTGAGATTGGATTAAATATAAACGGGTCGAATATGAATTGTGACTCATATTTAACCCGCTTATAATGAGTTAAATATGAATTGGGTGAAAATGATTCGAGTCAACCCGTCATGACCTGCCAATTTATTTTTGAATTTTTTTTTTTTTTGAATAATCTCATTATTATAGTAGTTTTTATTTTAGATAGATAAAAGTTTGTAAAAATATGTATGGATAATTGTAAATTCTCTAATTTATTTTGAAATTTTTTTAAATTTATATTACTCCGTATGTATGTATGTATGTGTGTGTGTATATATATATATATATATATATATATATATATATATATCATGAAATCATCTGTTAAGCTTTTTATAGAATAAATAATTAAATGAATAAATCAAGTCATCCTACTTTGAAGTAAACATAAGTTTTTTTTGAGCCATGGTATTACATACACGAGGAGTCTATAATACAGAGACAATCTTAGAGAAACAATTTTAGAGAGAGATAGTGGGAGAGAAAAAATTTAGAATCATGTGAGAGAATTTTACATATTCAACTCATTTAACCCTCTATAAAAATGAGTTAAATATAAGTTACTTATTTTAACTCATATTTTAAAATAATTCACTCATATTCATTTTAAAATGAACGAATATGAAATAATTAATGAATCATGACCTATTTTACCACCTCTAACTCCCATCAGAACTATGCGCTTAAAGCAAACAAGAAGGTTCCGTGTTTTTTTTTTTTATTTGTAGGTAAAAGGGTGGTAAGCTGAAGAAGGTTCCGTGTTGCAACAAATCTCTATAGGTAAAAGGGTGGTAAAAGGGTGGTAAGCTGAAGAAGGTTCCGTGTTGCAACAAATCTCTATAGGTAAAAGGGTGGTAAGCTGAAAGTGTTGCAACAAATCTCTATAGGTAAAAGGGTGGTAAGCTGAAGAAGGTTCCGTGTTGCAACTTTTGTTCGTTTTTATTTATTTATTATTAAAAAAAAAAAAAAAAGTTTTGGCATTTAAAACCCACCAATACTGCTTTTCTGGTGCAAAATTTCAATAGCTTTAATTGAACCCAACTGTAATTTCATGCTCTTTCCCATTCTTATACCCCTTTCCTACCTTTCTCATTACTCCATTCCACTCTCTCTCTCTCTCCTCTCTTCCCTCTCCCCATGGATTCAATCTCAGCATCTTCTCTCTCTCCATACTACCATATCATCTTCACAGCCTTAGCTTTTTTTGTCTCAGGCTTGATCTTCTTGCTAACACGTAAATCCAAGTCCAAGAAACTCAATCTCCCACCGGGTCCACCGGGTTGGCCCGTTGTCGGAAACCTCTTCCAAGTCGCCTTCTCCGGCAAACCATTCTTCCAATACGTCAGAGACATCCTCCCCAAGTATGGCCCAATCTTCACCCTCAAAATGGGTACCAGAACCATGATCATCCTCAGCAGTGCCGACCTCGTCCACGAAGCCCTTATCGAAAAGGGTCAGCTATTTGCTACCCGACCGCCCGAAAACCCGACCCGAACAGTCTTCAGCTGCGACAAGTTCACCGTCAACGCCGCCCTTTACGGCCCGGTTTGGCGGTCACTGAGGCGGAACATGGTCCAAGGAATGCTCAGCTCCACCAGGCTTAAGGAATTCTTTAATGTGAGGAACAATGCAATGGACAAACTCATGGAACGTCTTCGGGTCGAGTCCGAGGCAAATGGTGGGGTTGTTTGGGTCCTGAGAAATGCCCGGTTTGCGGTTTTTTGCATACTTTTGTCAATGTGTTTTGGTGTGGAAATGAGTGAAGAGACGATTGAGAAGATTGATCAGATGATGAAAACTGTATTGATTACACTTGATCCGAGGTTAGATGATTATATGCCACTTTTAAGTCCATTTTTCTCTAAGCAACGCAAGAGGGCCATGGAAGTTAGGAATGAGCAAATTGAAACGCTAGTCCCATTTGTCGAGAAGCGCCGGAGGGCACTCGAAAACCCGGGATCCGATAAGACGGCGGCGTCATTCTCGTACCTCGACACGCTCTTCGACCTCAAGATCGAGGGCCGGAAGACAACTCCGACGAATGCCGAGATGGTGAGCCTCTGCTCGGAGTTTATCAACGGTGGGACCGACACGACTGCCACGGCGATCGAGTGGGCCATCGGGCGATTGATCGAGAACCCGGAAATCCAAACCCGGCTCTACGAGGAAATTAGGGCAACGGTGGGTGACCGGAAAGTGGAGGAGAAGGATGCAGAGAAGATGGAGTACCTAAACGCCGTCGTAAAAGAGTTACTACGTAAACACCCTCCCACGTACTTTTCACTTACTCATGCAGTGACTGAGACTGCCAAGTTGGCGGGTTATGATATACCCACGAACACAAATGTGGAGATTTTCTTGCCGGGTATTTCCGAGGATCCGAAATTATGGTCCGACCCGGAAAAGTTTGACCCGGATAGGTTTTTCACGGGCCGGGAGGACGCGGACATGATGGGGGTGACCGCAGTGAAGATGATGCCGTTTGGAGTTGGGCGGCGGATTTGCCCCGGGTTGAGCATGGCAACGGTTCACGTGAATTTGATGCTGGCCCGAATGGTTCAGGAATTCGAGTGGACGGCCCACCCGAAAAATAGCAAGGTGGATTTTAGTGAGAAGTTGGAATTCACTGTGGTGATGAAGAATCCTCTAAGAGCTAAGATCAAGCCAAGGACTTGAAGAGGTGATTTTAGATTTATATATGTCATAAATAATTATTATATATGTGTCGTATTTTGTGACAATTAGTATTTGGTTTGTTACGTTGAGTTGTTCTTTTTTGTTTTTGAAAGTGTAATGGGATTTTAATTTCGGTGGGATATTTGTTTTTATATATGGCTTTCGTGTTTGTTGGCTAGCTTAGTACTACGTTTGACTATTTTTAAAGTCTGGTTGTGTTTGCTCTGAAATATTATGATACAAACAAAAGAGACAATGCACTCTTGTGACTAGAACTGATTGTTAATTACTACTTACTATTTCCTTAACATTTATGTTGTGTGAAAGTTGGTTGGTTGTTAGATTGTTGAATTTTTGGTCCGCTCTTGGAATTGACTTGCTTCAAATCAGAACAATCTCAATTGGATTTCATTAAATAACCTCTTTTTTTGTTTTCCTTTCTTCTCTTGTTGGTGGCAAGATGGTTTTCAAGTTATTTAATGATTTAGTACTTTGAAAAGTACTCTTTAGCTATACCTTGAGGACAAAAAACACAATTATATATATATATATATATATATATATATATATATATAAATTAATAGCTTAATATGGCGTACATTATTAACCATTTAGTTTTCTCAACCTTTCATTTGAAATAAAGAGTATTGCATGATTTTATAACTAGACTAATCAATAAAATTTGAAGTTTTGAAATTAAGGTAATAACTCTCAACTTTTCATTTGAAATAAAGAAGTACTACTTCAAGTTGACAGCTAAACCAATACTAATACGTGAATCTCCAATCCTTAAAATTGAAAGATAATAAAAAAATGCAAATTAATGAAAAAGCTTTCATCATATAGTGTTTCTTACGTTCTCAACAGAACCTAAAAAAAATATATATAGAATATACTGTATAACCTAATAGGAAAGAGGATAAGATAACTTAAATAATCAAGAGGAAAAGGGATCATAAATTTTTGAAATAAATAGAGGTTAGAAATCGAAATGATAAGAAAAAATCATAAAGAGAAAAACCATGTTAATAAGGCTGTCAAGTGTTTTCCTAGCCATTATTTAAGAGTATTTGATGTTTATAATGTTATGCTTAGAGACATTATTTAGTTTACACTTTAATTGTTTGTCTTTATTTACTGGAAAGGGTTTTTATTTCACATATTGTTCTTTCTAGTAATTTTTACTGTGTATGTCCTCTGTGCGCTTGTACATATATATATATATATATATATATATATATATATATATATTTTTTTTTATACATCATCCAATTATGAAAAAAAAAAAAAAAAGAGGCTGTCAAGTGTCAACCACTCATTATTTTGCCGAGCTGTATAGCCTCTCCTCCACGAAGTGTTCAAGTTTCGTGAGTAATCGGAAAAAAGAAAAAGAAAAAAGAAAATGTGTGGTTGAGAGGATCTGTGGTTAGTTGTAGTTTTTGCTTACAAGGCTGATATGAATTTCAATTGAATGTATGTAGTGATGAATGAGGCATTGCATCAAAAAAGAAGAGATTGGGGATAGGGACAACAATTAATGCCTCAGCGGGGAGAAATTAATTCGGTAGTGGCAGTAAAGAAATTTGATTGGGATTGATGAAGACAGAAACTCTTCTAAATACTTTTACCTCATATATCTTCCAAAAGCTTCTTCAATTTTTTGAACATTCGGAGAAAACAACATATTGATTATTGAACTTTAACACCAAACCCTCCTCTCTCTCTCTCTCTCACACACACACACACAGTTTATTTCTGATTTTAGTTGGGACAACCAAATGTTTACTGAGGGAACTGAATTCTGGCTTCCCAAACAGTTGAAAAAAAAAAATATCTCTTTTGCAAACAATAACGACCAAACATGGACATTCGAGGAATATGGACATTTCTCTTTTGAACTTCTTAAAATGAGACTGAAATGTCTTGGTGTTTGGAATACTTATCCTCAAACATTTCAATTGTTAAAGGGCGTAATTGCCCTTCATTTATCACGTTTAGTTAGAGGGATAAAAAAATAAATAGAGGAGAAAGAAATGAGACATCCTCGGGAAAGAAATGTACCTTTAATGAAAGAAAGAATAGAAATATAAAAGATGAATGAGGTGACACTCTCTTCCCCTCAATTTTAGTCGGATAAAAAAACAATAGATTAGGAAAGATGCTTGTCCCTCCTTGCTTCCTCGCCCTCTTCCCTTCCCTCCAACCCACCAAACATCATAAGCATCATCTATTCCCCCTGTTATCCATCCCACTCAATCCTTCCTCCTATCCAAACATAGCATTAGGTGAACTAACCACCCCAAGTCTTTAACCATTATCCAAATATAGCATTAGGTGACTATTTCTAAAGTTTGGTTGTGTTTGTTTTGAAATATTATGATACAAACAAAAGAGGCAATGCACTCGTGACTAAATGGAACTGATTGTTAAATCGAATGTCCATGTTTGGTCCGTATATACCTTCCTTTCTATCTCTCTCTCTCTCTCACACACACACGGTTTATTGCTGATTTCAGTTGGGACAACCAAATGTTTAGTGAGGGAACTGATTTTTGGCTTCCCAAACAGGCTTCAGTTGAAACAAAAAAATGTCTCTTTTGCAAACAATAACGACCAAACATGGACATTCGAGGAATAATAATTTGGACATTTCTCTTTCGTACTTTTTAAAATAAGACTGAAATGTCTGAGTGCTTGGAATACTTACCCGCAAACATTTCAATTGTCAAAGGACGTAATTGCCCTTATCATGTTTAGTTGGAGGGATAAAAAAAAATAGAGGAGAAAGGAATGAGATATCCTCGGAAAAGAAAGGTACCTTTAATGGAAGAAAGAATAGAAATATAAAAGATGAATGACGTGACACTCTCTTCTGCTCAATTTTAGCTGGATAAAAAAACAGTAGACTAGGAAAAATGCTTGTCCCTCCTTGCTTCCTCGCTCTCTTCCCTTCCCTCCAACCCACCAAACATCAGAAGCATCATCTATTCCCTCTTATCCATCCCACTCAATCCTTCCTTCTATTCAAACATAGCATTAGGTGAACTAACCACCCCAAGTCTTTAACCATTATCCAAACATATTTTTTTTCTTAGTTGGTACTCACACACATGCCTCCACTAAGGCTCGAATCCTTGACCTCCCTTTGAAAAGTAAGAGTCTGATACCGCTAGACCACTGACTTATTGGTACCATTATCCAAACATAGCATTAGGTGACTACTTCTAAAGTTTGGTTGTGTTTGTTTTGAAATATTATGATACAAACAAAAGAGGCAATACACTCTTGTGACTAAATGGAACTGATTGTTAAATCGAATGTCCATGTTTGGTCCGTATATACCCTCCTCTCTATCCCCCCCTCTCTCTCTCTCATACACACACGGTTTATTTTTTATTTTAGTTAGGACAACCAAATGTTTAGTGAGGTAACTGATTTTTGGCTTCCCAAACAGGCTTCAATTGAAACAAAAAAATGTCTCTTTTGTAAACAATAACGACCATACATGGACGTTTCTCTTTTGTACTTTTTAAAATAAGACTGAGATGTCTGAGTGCTTGGAATACCTACCCGCAAACATATTAATTGTCAAATGACGTAATTGCCCTTATTACGTTTAGTTGGAGGGATAAAAAAAATAGATAAAGGAGTAAAGAACGAGACATCCTCGGAAAAGAAAGGTACCTTTAATAGAAGAAAGAATAGAAATATGAAAGATGAATGAGGTGACACTCTCTTCCGCTCAATTTTAGCCGGATAAAAAAACAATAGACTAGGAAGGATGCTTGTCCCTCCTTGATTCCTCGCTCTCTTCCCTTCCCGCCAACCCACCAAACATCAGAAGCATCATCTATTCCCCTTGTTATCCATCCTATTCAATCCTTCCTTCTATCCAAACATAGCATTAGGTGAACTAACTACCCCAAGTCTTTAACCATTATCTATCTCTTGCTAATTGCTGAAAAAATAATTATCTGTTTACTCTAAAGAAGCTAAAATGACCTATATGGAAGGATGCTTGTCCCTCCTTGCTTTCTCGCTCTCTTCCCTTCCCTCCAACCCACCAAACATCAGAAGCATCATCTATTCCCCCTGTTTTCCATCCCATTCAATCCTTCCTTCTATCCAAACATAGCATTAGATGAACCAACCACCCGAAGTCTTTAACCATTATCTATCTCTTGCTAATTACTGAAAAAATAATTATCTATCGTTTACTTGGAAGGATGCTTGTCCCTCCTTGCTTCCTTGCTCTCTTCCCTTCCCTCCAACCCACCAAACATCAGAAGCATCATCTATTCCCCCTGTTTTCCATCCCACTCAATCCTTCCTTCTATCCAAACATAGCATTAGGTTAACCAACCACCCCAAGTCTTTAACCATTATCTATCTCTTGCTAATTACTGAAAAAATAATTATCTATCGTTTACTCTAAAGAAGCTAAAATGACCTATATGGAAGGATGCTTGTCCCTCCTTGCTTCCTTGCTCTCTTCCCTTCCCTCCAACCCACCAAACATCAGAAGCATTATCTATTCCCCCTGTTATCCATCCCACTCAATCCTTCCTTCTATCCAAACATAGCATTAGGTGAACCAACCACCCAAGTCTTTAACCATTATCAATCTCTTGCTAATTACTGAAAAAATAATCATCTGTCATTTACTCTAAAGAAGCTAAAATGACCTATATGGGCATTTGCATTTTAGCAAGGTTGATCCTCATTGATTCTAACCCATGTTCTCACATGGCATTCCTAAAATACACACACACTGAGAAAGAGAGAGAGAGAGAGAGAGAGAGCATATAACTATCATCGCTCAAGTAAACTTGAGTTATCCAGGTTTTTACAATGAAACTCACAAAACTTCCCAGAAACCAGCTACTACTACCAAAGGGGGGAAAGAAGGAAAAGATAATTTAACTATATTTACAGAAAGCCAGAAGACAGAATGATCAACTTCCCGGGACACGATCTGGGTGAATTTCAGTTCCATCTTTTCCAATGAATCTACGAGAATTCAGGAGCCCTGGTCTTGCAGCTTGGACTCCAAGAAACAGAAGAAAACTATGGATTAGATGGGCTCTCCACACGGTGTTTGTTTCCATAAGTTTTTGCTATCTGACTACTCTCAATTGGAGTGGAGATGCTCTCTCCAGCTTCTGTGCCATCACCCACAGATGGAAACTGATCCTCTTGGATGGGGTCCATCCGATGATTGTCATGTGCTCTCGATGGAAGCCTATGACTAGTGTATAAACAGTGATCAGAATTTGTGTTCAGGCATTCCATGCCATAACCATATCGGACAGCTGAACTGTACACGGGTTGCATCATGCGTTTTTTCTCAGGACACTCACGCAATGACATCCGACAAACTGGACAAGTTGAGTGCTGCTGCAGCCATATGTCAATGCAGTTTGCATGAAAGAAGTGGCCACAGTAAGGAAGGATACGCAACGTATCTTCCTCGCGATATTCTGCCAGGCAAACTATGCACCTGCCACAAATTTTGCAATTTGGTTAGAAGAGAACAGATAAAAACAAGAAATATAAATAATGGAATTAGAATCTACAACCCACATTTAAAGAAATCCAACAGAAGATGCTACAGCAAAAAACACAAGCACAGAAGCAGTGATACTTAAGCATGAGATATTATTCTCGTGCTAGTCTTCTATTCATCTGTTTGCATCATGAATGGAGAATTTCTGATTGTTAACCCAAATCAAGAACTGATGTGAACAGGACTTGGTGACCATAAAAACAAATTGCAACGAAATTTCAGGGAAAAGAGACATTTAAACTCTCATTTATTTTGATTTTTTTCCACAATAATCCCCATTGAATGAATAACAGATCCAGATGACAATAGTCCTTCTGAACGAGTACAAGGATTATGGCACCAAAGAGGTTTACTTTGCCAAGAGTATGATTCTAGACAAACTGGACAAACAAGATTCATGCAGACGGGGGATAAAGCTTATTAGCCAAGTGAATTTCATTATATCATATGGAAATAGCAACACCAACCTTTTACCTAAAACCCTTTAAAATTAGAGAATGAAGGCCGTTATGAAAAGAATAGCATCTTAAATTGATATACATCCATATTCTAGAACTTCTCTGTCCTACAGAAGATTGCTTTGTTTTCTCATTAAGCTCAAAATCAATAATATGGAGAAATTAATAAGTTTCTTGTATCCTGGTTCAAATTTAGAACCCCACCTGGTTATTTGGATTTAAGTAGCAATATGAATCTTCACCAACATAAAGCCATTCTCCTAAACTTTCCTTACCCTGAGCCAATTGCTTGCCCTTCCCAAAAAAGCTCAAAAAGGATAATATGCAGAAATACATTAACTTCTTGACTTCCACTCTAAATGTAAACAGTTCCCACCAAGCAATTGAGAAGCTTACTAGGGGAGCAAGAAAATGTAAGCTGGATTAGAAGTTCAAAAGCATGTAGAAGGAGCAAAACCTTTATCTTATGGAACCACAGACATCTTGTCCGGTTCAGGGACATTGTGTTCCAGTGGTTCCAGCTGCATTCAGATAAACCTAGAAACTTACTCCTGATTCATCGATATAACAATATGATGCTCCATGTCAAAGAGAGTTCTATCTATCGTTAAGACATAAAAGGTTGGGCTTCTACCTCAAGGAAGAAGAATCAATGCAGCCAGCTTAAATAGTTGGTTGACTGCCCACGGAGCTAAAATAAGATATTGACACAACATTAAATCTGACAGTAACTTTAGTAACTTGGTCCATCGAAGTTAAGTCAATAAGTGAGAGGCTCTCTCTTTTGCTTCTCTTCCTTTTTCCCTGTGGGAGTACGGAAGGATGCGTGGCTTTGCTCCTTTATGTATGATTGAAAGTATTAGAAGTAAGAGAGTACAAGGGAAGAATGACAGATCCATTAAAACATAAAAGGTTGGACTTTTACTGCAAGGAAGAAGGATCAATGCAACAAGCTAAAACAGTTGGTTAGTCACCTATGGAGCTAAAACACGAAAATGACATGACATTAAATTTACCAACTTGCAACATAGAAGTTACGTGGTTAATGAGAGGCATGACAGATCCTTTTTTCTTTTTTTTTTTAAAGTGGCATGACAGATCTTAACAAACAAAAACACAGACCAAATCTCACAAACCCATTCAATCATCAACCTACAACCCTCATTACTGTTCCAATTTGATAAACATTGACAATAATAAGCGTAGTTGTTAAAGGCAAGTTTAATTTCCAAAAAAGCCCCCAGGTTCGTCAAGGCTCGGGCTAGAGCGCCTTAACCTAGTATACGCCAAGCCCCTTCATTCAGGCTCGTATAAATCCCTTGGGCTCGCATTTTTTGGTAGGCTCCAGGCTATTAAAAAAATAATAATAAATAAATAAATAAGCGCCTTATATTTTGTAATCATTTATTTCATATCATTTTCTTTTTTATTTAATGACTTTTAAACCAAAATGTTCTATATCATATCATGATCATATTTAATGGATAATATTGTTCAACTTTATGAAATATTTGACATAAATTTACAGTATCAGATCATTATAATGAATCATATTGTTCAACTTTATGAAATATTTGACAAAATTTGTAAATTTATGATTTACTAATTGTATTAATTGCATTTAATGCTTGATTCAGAATTTAGGAAGCACAAACACACCTAAAAGGGCAAAGAATCAATTATGAAAAAAAAAGGGCAAAGAATCCGTGTCGAACACCGACATGCGCCGCCAAAAAAATGTCTAAATTTTTTTCTTTCTTTTAAATATTCGGACATGACACGGACACGCCGTGGACACGCCATGGATACGTGTCCGACACACGTATCCCATTCTTTATTTGTTTAATTTTTGGATAAGTAAGGCATTTGAGGATTTTAAGAAAGTTTTAGAAAGAAAGCTAGGTTGAAGTGTGACAGGGAAAAATAAACCTAACCTACCTTGACCTAACGATAGAGGCAACTAAGTGTTGACCAGCCGCCAGACCTCTTCGACTTTCGAATTATGATATTTCGTTATTAAGGATGAGATAAGATGATGTGGTTCAACAGAGTAAGGATAACCTTTGCACAACTTGAGAAAGTCAAAGGGGTAGATCATATCCCCGACAAATCTGGCAACAAACGGATCTCCTCTGATCTCGCAAATGAACTGAGGGAGAGCGGCTATAAGAATGAGATCCGACCAGTCAATAAAGGTACGACAAAAAACTATTACTAAATCCCTGCCTTTCTTTTAGACCTCCGGTGATTGACTTGATCGTCGGATAGCTCTTGGCAGGCATCACACCGGTGTCGTCAAGATTCATCGATCTTCTACTCTCTTCTTCGCAGGAAAACGGTGTCGTACAGGACCGCGTGGATTTCTGCCCCAACAAAGTGTAAATATGAGAAGTTGTTTAATAGCTTTCAATAATACGATGGTCCTTACAAAATTAACTAAAGTTGTTGTTTTATAAAACAATTTTATATTAAAGAATAAGATATTTATGCGTATATTTTAGCTCAAAGGTTCAAACTCTTGCACGATTGTCTTAGACACTCTCTTGTTCTCCATATACCAAGCTTAACTTTTCTTTCTCTTTCTTAAAATCCCGGTGGATGGTTTCTTTCTCCTTTCTCTCCCCCTCTCCCCCCCCCCCCCCCCCCCAACCCATCTTTTCTCCCATTTTTTGTCCTACTCTTTTCTTTCTTTTTCTTCACAAACCCTAGATAATTCTTTTTTTCCTTTCACAACAACGTTTTTTATTTTTATTTTTATTTTTATGTCTCTTTTTCCTTTTTTCTCTTATTTTCATGAACTTTTTCTCTTCTATAGATTCTTACTAACTAAGCCCTAATTCTTATTCTAACAAAACCTAATCCTCTTTATTTCTTTGTTTTTGTCTTTCTTAAACCTCTTTCTATCATTCTTTCTTTTTCCCAACAAAACACAAAATAAATAAATAAATAATACTAATAATCATTATTAGGTTGATAAAAAATAATATTACTCTTAATTTCCTAAAATACATTATATATATATATATATATATATATTATTCACCATGTCCCCGCTGCGTTGTGTCGTGTCATATCCGTTTCCGTGTCCCGTATTCATTTCCGTGCTTCTTAGTTTTGAATATTTAAAATTCGCATGATTAAAGTTTCTAATTGTTTCGGATTTGTAATCACGTTTTAATTTGTTTAATGCATATGCATCTGAAAGGACTTATGAGCATTAATTTACTTGATCCTCTTAGTTGATATATAAAAAATCCCATTATTATTTGTGTCGCATATCTTGAATTGTTCAGATTGTGCATTGAATTTATTGAAAACATTTGCAAATAGAAAAGGAATATGTATGCTGATTTAGCTAATCCATCCAATTGATATGTTAAAAAAAATTCCCTATTTTGATATTGACAAGTTTGCTGTATAGTTTAATTATTCTTTATAGACTATCAGTTAATATGCATTATTACACACGTGCTCTACTTTGATCAGGCTCGCGCCATATATTATGCCTTGCGCTTAGGCTCCAGGAGACCTTTGGTGCCTTAGTGTGCCTTGAGCCTTTAACAACTATGATAAAAAGATAAAAAGAAAGATGGTGGATTTCAAAATTTGTAATGTTGATGTCATTTTTTTGTTTTTGATAAGTAATAATAAATTAAAAAAAGGAGTTCAATAGGGGAACGCGTCCCATAGACATAAAAGAAACCGGGAACTAAGGCCCCAAAGAATCCAAAAAACGAAATTAAATCAACAGAAGAGGAACAGGAACTTATGTTCACATAACTGAAGAGAGAACGAATAATAAAAAGTTTCAGTGTCGCTGTAGACGACTCCTTTCCTTCAAACATTCTACTATTTCTCTCCCTCCAAATGCACCACCAAATACAATGCGGTGCAAATCTCCAATAATCACGAACACTTTTACTCATACGACAACCTCTCCAAGCATGAATCAGCTCCTTAGTAGAACGTGGCATTACCCAATACATGCCAAAAAGCCCAAGAATAAGATTCCAACAGTCGTGTGCTACAAAATAATGCATTAGGAGATGATCAACTGACTCCCCATTCTGCTTACATATGCAACACCAATTAACAAAATAATTTCCCCTTTTCCTCAAATTATTGATCGTCAGAATCTTACCCCAAACGGCGGTCCATACAAAAAAAGCCACCCTAGTAGGAGCCATAGAACGCCAAATAGTCTTCCATGGAAAATCAGAGGGTGCAAAATTAGACAAACATAAGAACAAAGACCTCACTTCAAAATGACCGTGAGAAGAGGGAATCCAAATCAAATTGTCATAACCCCTGCCAATTTCTTCCTACCGATACAATTGATCCAAAAAAATGCTCACATCATCTAACTCCCAATCCTGAAAAGAACGCCGAAAAAGAACATTCCACATAATTCCACTATTATCAAGCCGATAACAGTTAGCTACGGTGGCATGTCTATCAACTGCAATACTGAGTAATCTTGGGAAAGTACAACATAAAGGTTGATGTCCACACCAAAGATCTTCCCAAAAACGAACGCGACTGCCATCACGAACTCTAAATCTAACATGAGGAGAAAAGGCATTCCATCCTTTCCGAATGGATTTCCAAGCCCCAACTCCTCCCGCAATAGAAACCGGACGTGTAGTCCATCCTCCAACATCATCCCCATACCAGCAGGAAACTAATCTACGCCAAGGACGATGTGTTTCCTTCTCGTATCTCCACAACCATTTACCCAAAAGGGCTTGATTAAAAGGAATCAATTGTCTAATACCGAGACCCCCCAGTTTTATAGGCTTGCAGACTTGCTCCCATCGAACAAGGTGATACTTGAACTCTTCTCCCCTTCCTCCCCAAAGGAAATTCCGTTGAATTTGTTCAATTCTATCAGTAACGAAACATGGGATTTGGAACATAGAAAGAAAATAAGTGGGAAGGCTAGATAAAGTGCTCTTGATAAGAGTAACTTTATCCCCCTTCGACAAATATTGTTTCTTCCAACCTGCCAACCTCTTAGCATACCTATTAATCACAGAATCCCAACTCCCCACTAATCTGGGAGAAACCCCTAGGGGCAAACCCAAATAAGGAATAGGAAAGGAACTCACCCTATACCCAAGAACTGCAACCGGAACAAGCACACTCTTGGCCACATTAACCTTAAGCCCGGAAACTGCCTGAAAGCAAGCCAGAATACATCTCAAATATCTAAGTTGAGACACTTCTGCATCACAAAAAACCAGAGTGTCATCTGCAAATAACAAATGAGAAATCTCCACTTGATTTGCAATATCTCTTCCCACCCGAAATCCTTTGATAAGACTAAGATTCTCTGCCTGGCGCATAAGTTTGCTTAAACCCTCCATAACAATAAGGAAAAGAAAAGAAGACAAAGGATCACCTTGTCTTATACCCCGAGAACACCGAAAAAAGCCAGCTGGAGAACCATTCACAAGAATTGAGAACTTAACAGACGACAAACATGTCTGAATCCATGTCCTCCATCTACTTCCAAACCCCATTCTTTGAAGCAAGTAGAGAAGGAAATTCCAATTAACATGATCATAAGCTTTCTCAATATCAAGTTTACACAAACTTCCAGGAACATCATTACGCAACCTTGAATCCACACATTCACCAGCGATAAGAACTGAATCAAGAATTTGCCTACCTCCAACAAAGGCATTCTGGGAATCTGAAATAATCCCATCCATAACTTCTGGCATTCTTTGAGCAAGCACCTTAGTTATGAGTTTGTAAATACAACCCACTAAGCTAATAGGACGAAAATCCTTAATATCTGAAGCATTTCCCTTCTTAGGGATGAGGGCAATAAACGATGCATTAAGCGATTTCTCAAATACACCTGTAGAATGAAACTCCTGAAAGGTGCTCATCACTTCATTTTTCACAACCGCCCAACTTTCCAACAAGAAACGCATAGTAAACCCGTCAGGCCCCGGGGCTTTATCCCCATTGCAACTGGATAATGCCTTTAGGACTTCTTCTTCAGTAAAAGGAAGCTCTAGTCCATCTCTCTCCATCTCAGAAATAGCCTCAAAAGGAAGACACACCGGACCGGACCCAACTTACTCAAACTTTCCAACGCCTTAATGCTCCCACTTGGGTTACAAGCTCACGTAATGTTGATGTCATTTTAAATTTTGAATTTGAATGATATGCTCAATATAGAAATCTATAAGGATGTAGGACGAGTGCAAAGAACACTCTTACAGGGCATGCCATCAAAGCTGATAGGGCACTGCTCTGTAAGCAAAATAGAGTCTCCTGGAATTATAGAAGGATTGGGCCATGGGAATGATTGTAGATTTAGTCTTGATTGGTGGACGAACAGTTCTAGGATGGATGGGAATGGGTTGAAGATGGCTGCAGTTTGAAGTTGTTTGGTGCAGGATTCACAGAATACTGTTGGAGTTTCTGGACAGCAGTTATTTATGGTTTTGGGTATTAGTTTGAAGAGTAAGGGTTAAAGATGACTAAGCTTCGTAGGAAAAGGTTTCACGCAAGGAAGAGAAGGTTTGGGAGACTGTTCAGAGGCAATTCCCATGCTATGAAACAGCAGAAAACAAGGTCTGGTTGCATGTATCAATTGTAGAAATACACCAAATAAATAAATAATAAATAAATAAATAAAAGGAAGACAAAAAAGAACAAATAAATAGCAATCAAATTAACGTTCCCATAGGCATAATAGGTCTAGCATTGCACCACTCAATTAAAATAAAGCTTTGACAGCTCTGGTCTTTTTTTTATAACTAAACTGATCACTATTGAATTCAAATGAATAACATATATGAAAGGCCATCAAACTTTTCCTAATTATACAAGGTTCTTTCCCTTGAAAATTAGAAATTAGGACTTTGACTATCTAAACCATCTAAAGACCATATAAAATTAATCAATAACATAACATGGCCCAAAATACAAAAAAGTGACCTATAGTCCATGTCTGTTTTAATTTTAAAACATAAACAAAAACTAAAATTCAAAACTACAGATTCCGTTTTGTACGAAATTTGTCCACTAAAGTCCTATTAAACTCACACCCTCTATTGTGGAGAGTGTTTCATAAGGAAAGAGCGGCTCTTGCAAGAGCAGGTTATGGCTCTTTAGACGCGTAACTCCTTATGCTACTGTTGGCTGGGTAGGCTATTGCCAATATGGAACTGACCCTTGTTGGGTTTTGCTTTGGGTATCTTTTTGTGTGGCGGATTGGAAAAAGTCCATATTGTATCCAAAAATTAAAAGAGTAAATGTTGCTTTTATTTCCTTAGTGTTTAGAATACAAAACATTTTTCGATGGGCATTTGAAAATACATTAATGTTCTTGTGACTTTGACTAATCTATTCACGTTTGTTACCATCTTCAAATCTAGATGTAACTGGTCCGTAGGTTGAACCATGTAAACCATTGAGTTCCATGTTACACTATTTTATGCTATTTTATCAATTTTTTCACATGTTAAACCCTAATCAAGGGACTTTAAAAATCCACAGCATTTGGTATTGAACTCTCGGGTCAACTATGGCATTGAAGAATTTGTTAGTACACAAAGGCATGGGCAATTCAACAAAAAATTTATTTATTTGCCTTTTGGTAAATCAAAGTTAATGTTCGCTAATTTAGCGTGCCTACACTAGCTATTGCAGGAAAGACAATAAAACGAACCATTCTAGCGATTAGAGCATCTGATTAGGTATAGGATGAAAGATGGTGATTATCATATCATCATTAGGAGTCTAGCTTATTCCTTTTTTGTTGGATTCTTGTTTGCAGAAGTGTTTTTCCTAAGAACCAACTTTTAGTTTTTTATTTCATTTTCTTGGTGGAAAGAAAAAAATTAATATGTAACATCCAACATAGAATTTGAATAATCAAATTATAGCACAATATTCTCCTTAGAACCATGTTTAGGGTAAGCTTATGGTATAACTTGGGTTTTAATTTGTTATGGTATAGTTTGGAAAACCTCATATTGTGTTAACAGTATTAAGAAAATGAACTTGGATACTCTTCTATTGAATTAAACAACTCAAACAGAGAAAGAAAAAATGTCTACTGCAGCCATAATAAGGTGTTGTATGATTCCTAAGTCCAAAACCAATCAGTGAGGAAGTAAGATACAGAACACTAGACGTGCAGCCAACTGTCGTTTAACAATAGCATAGTACTTCATGCCAAACCGTTAGGACCTGCTGTCATTGTGTTGTCAATTTCAGTGATCAATATATGTGCTGTGAGTCTGTGACCGGTCAAGTTAGTGAGTCAAATTGATATGTCCACTAATTTGTGATTGAATACGTATTTTATGGTCATGATTGAAGACTGCATGAAGATTGCAAGGTGACCTGATTTTTTTTTCCCTTTCATAAGTACAAGGTGACCCGAACTTAACAATCTTGATCGACTTGATTCACACACATGCCATGGAAGGGTAAGTTTGACTTTGTAAACCTAAGACTAAACTGGAAAAATTGAATTTAGTTGACCCTTTTTGACCTTATACCACATTTAAGATCAGTTCTAAAGTGAACTTATTCATTTTAAATACAAAAATGTGTTTCATTCAGAAAACAATGCTTTAGAACTTGTCTCAAAGGGCTTACAAATAATCACCTAACCGAGGCTGGAGAATTATAAGGATTATAATAATAATTACCAAATGAGTTTTCATTTTTTTAACACTAAATCTGCTATAAAATAATTCAATTTTTGCAATAGTGGGAACATTTTGTCATTTATGCTATACAATTTTCTTGCATTCCTATATGCTACTAGGCACAAATTTTTATCATGGACCCTCACCCTTCTGTACCTGAACAACTACAGTTGCATCAGCTCCATTCTAGAACTATCCTTATATTGAACACCTATAAAATTAAGTGAGCCACCTCATCTAAGTTTAACATGCTCCCATTACTCTCTCTCTCTTAAATCCTTTAAAATCTTGTTGCTTAAACACAAAGGAATACGGAACTGAAACATATTCTACTTGTTTTGTTGCAAAACAATATCTTGCACATGTTGTTTGCCTCACTGTAGTAAGAATATGATTGTAAAATAATTACATGGGGCATGGATACTGCAAGTATCCACATCAAGGGTAATCCATGACAACAACAATCAGTCAAACTAGATGCACACATATACTCCAAACAAGAGCTACAAGAAACTCAAATCAGCTGCAACAGTACAGTATGGGACTCAACAAGTACAAAAATAAACTTACTGAGCATCTTTTGAAGAGGAAAAGTATGCATCACTGTACTTCTTTATTGGAAAGTTGGCTATGACAAAAGGCTCAAGGCAATGTAACCCCCGTTCCAGCTGTAACATAGGAAAGTAAACAATCATTTAGCCCCGGGTGGTCGGAAGTGACGGATGAGGATAAATCCAATGCTATAAAAGGTGAGAGAGATTAAAAGACTCAACTGTTTTAAGAACTGACATCACATACAAATAACAAAATAACACCCACTTAAGCGGAAAAAACAAATAAGACAAGGAACTTTTCAATTTCCAGCATAGCTACTGGCCTACAAGAAGTGGTTTTACCTAACTGTTAAATAGAATGTGAAGGAATATAAGACTACAGACATAAATAACAAATCACTAGCAAGAGACCAAAATATTTGTCATACAAAACAATTGACTTCAAGGAAATTCCGTCCTAATTTTTTTCAATAGTAACAATCTAAGAAAATTTCCATAAACATCAAAACGAATCCTCAAAGTAATGAAAAATTTCAAAAAATGAAGAAAAATGAGAGAAGAAGAAGAAAGCCATATTAAAATAAGTCTAAATAAGTAATTTCTAAAACTTGAATTTCTAAATTCACAAAAACTGACTGCTTCGGCAGCACCCCTATGCTGCTGATATACTGCAGCTCCTACAAATTCTATAATATATACACACAAACACACACATGGGGGTGCTCAGAAAGCCATGAGCTGACTGACATGATTAGAAAGGAACCAATCAAAGGGATGTGCGTTACTAGGTGCTACAGATAGCATTCCCTTAATAGGCATATAAGATACCAAACCAAAGAAAATTCAATCAGGAATGTATAAAGTGTAGAGGTAAATTAAGTAAACACCAACAAGAACATGCCCAGATTAAGATTTACCCAAAAAAACATACCCAGATAAAGAAAGAGAAAATGGTTCAATAATTCACAAAAAAATCTCAAATTTATTGATAAATCAAAAGTGAACAAGAGCTTACTGTGCTCAGATCAGATCTAGAGGCCATAGGAAAGGAACGTCTGGACGCACTCAATTGAATCCGAGCACAAATGAGCCTGGTGCAGACGAATACAATGAACATCGCACTCACGGCGAATCCAATCACTGTCATCACCAAATTTATTCCCGAAGATATCATTTTTCTCCTTCTACTTGTTTATCCCAGTAAAGCTATAGCTTATTCAGTTCAGTTCCAAAACCCTAGAATTAAATTCACACACAGTTCAACTAGCGCTCCCATCACAAACACACGGTCAGCTCAATTCCAAAGTGCAGCAAAAGAGCCACACATGGTCAATCGATCAATCATCAATTCACTCAAAAGAAGGAACGCACCAAAACCCTAGAACTTCACTCTGCAACTACTCATCGTCACTACTCTCTCTCTCTCTCTAAGCTATCTATCTATATAATTTTGGCTCTGGGATGCCTACCATTGAAGAAAGAAGGTAAATTGGAGTCCTAAAATCAAAGTGTGAGTGTGTGTTTGTCGGTGTGAAGAAGCCATGGTGGAATTGGGCAGAGCCAGAGAGTGAGAAACCCCATGTGAAGATACTATAAAAGAGATTAGAGAGAGAGAGGAGAGATAGGAGAGGGAGAGAGATCAATGGGTGATTAAAATGTGGGGATTAGTGAGATCTCAGATCCAAAATCATAGTTATTGCTATTGGAAGAATGGGGACCAGTGGACCAGAGAAGGGCAAATCAACCAAATCAAACCCAGATCAGGAAAGACTACTAACATTAATATTAATGTTAATAAATAGTAATTATTACTATATTATTCAACTTTTTTGCATTAATTCGAGGTAGATATCACAGAAAAGATATGGATAATACCTATGTGAAACACTCATTAAAATATCTTAAAATCAAATAAATTGTTTAAAAATTTAAAAAGATAAGGCACTCTCGATTTTCAACAAAGAACATGATGGGCGTAACCAAATTGTAATCCCCATTTTTATTTTTTTTATAATCATAATCTTTTATGATTTGTAACTATTTGAAAATAATGACCAAAAAAAAAAAAAATACTCCAAAATCAAAATTTTAGTTGATTTTAGAATTTTCTTGAATGAAAATTATTATTGTCCTTCCGCTATCCGTAATAGATAGTTACCACATAACTTTCATTTCTTAATACCGAAATTAATCTTTAAAAGGATCGATTTTTTTTTTGGGTGTAATGGTAAAAATTTTAATTAATAAGGACGACGGTACTGAAAACTTGAATATAATAAAAAGGGTCACTTTGTACCTAAACTCAATATCACGAGATTTTGTGAAAAAACATAATATATATATCACGAGATTTCAAAATTTTGAACTAACGGTTGATAGTACTGCGAAGTACAAGACTGAAAAGTGGTGCGTTGTATATTATGACAATCATTGTTGTTATTTCTATTATTATATGTTATCATATCTCAATATTCAGCCAAACTTTGAAATTTTTTATTGATAAAAAAAGTATTATTATTATTTGCTTCGTTCACGTGTCCTAATATTTATTCATTTCTTCTTAAAATAAGTTTCTTATTTTTTTTTTAATTTATTTTAAAATAATAATCCACCTTTATTTTTTAAATAATATACTTCATATCTTTTCATATATGTCCTTTAAATTTAAAATTTCAAACTTAAATATTTAAAATTTAAAAGAACAAGTTAATAATTTTTAAAACAGGCAATGCATGTCTTACATGTCCTCTTAAAAATTATTACTCACTGTAAACAACACTTAAATTGAGACAAAGAGAGTACTAACTAGGAAAACAGATTTCCTAATGTTTTAGCAAAGTGTGTATAATTATTTAGTTGAGTTATTTTATTACAAAATTTGTTATTATTTGAAAGAAATAAAAAGATACAAGACTCGATTATAAAATCTCAGACTAAGAGAATAATTCAACCACCTGAATAATACGATACTTGTTATGCTTTGTTTCACAAGATATAAATATTAAGTTTAAGGCTTACAAGGAAAACGTAATAGTGGAGATGGTGCAGGTATTATGCATAATTATTAATTACGCACTATTTGAAATTAGTTATTTGTTCTAATAAAACTATTTGTGGCAGGCTATGAAAATCTTTTTAAAGCAATTATGAAGAAATAACTTTCACAAAGTACCATGTGTTGTTGAATACGTGCATGTATTACACAATTCAACTAAAACACACAATGATTATTTATTACGTTTGCAACTGATATGGTAAAATAAAGTATTTTTTGTTTATACATAGTGTATATATAATTTTTTTTTCCTGAAAATTTAAGCAAACAAACGGGAGTGGAGTTAGAAATTCTAATTTGGTGGGCTGAATTTGTACTATGTAACTAAAATCTGAAAAAATGATAATCAATTCTAATATAATTTTGTTCAAATATTAGTAATAGTATATATATGCCTTAAAAAAATCACCCCAAAAAAAAAATGAAAAGAAAAGAAAAATACTACAACTTAAATATATAGATGAAAAATTGATACGAGAAAGAATAATATAGAGAAGAAGAAATGAAAGTTATAATTAAAAGAGAAGAAGTCCTTCATTAATTGAGTTTTTCAAAAATTTAATTTTTGGAGAGAAAAAAAAAATTTAGTACTTTGATTCCCCTTTACGAAAGATATCTCATTTATTACCCTGATGACATATTAGAAGGAATATATATATATATATATAATTAAACAAAATCTCTCACATTTAAACTAAGCATGATTATTACTTTCGTAACCTATACAAATGGTTATAGAATTTTTTATTTAGCAAGTGACATTTAAAAATATTAGCATATATTATTTTGTTGTAGTTATTGACAGTCTCACAAAACTTTATTTCATCATCCTTCCTAATATTTGATGAACTTGTCAATGGATATTGGTATATAATTTAAGATATTTTTCTTATAAGCACCATTTCACAATAAAGATAGATAAAACATTACCTTTGTTCTCTCTTGAATTAATGTAATATATAGATATTGTACATATGTAAATATAAATGAAAAAACATGGTGTTGCGGTAAAGACTATAATAATAATGAATTTAAATTTCTATTTCACAATATTTGAGCTTTCAAAAGTATAATTAAAAGGATATAAGTTGAAAATTTTATATGTTTCAATGGTACACAAGCAAAATTTATAAAATTTAAAATTGGAGGGAGAAGGGGGGCCTGGCCCACCCCTCACCCCTGCCACCGCCCCTACCCACACACCCTCTATATAAATATTATGTCTCCACCAAGACTCGAACATTAAGAATATATTTGGTACGCGTTTTGTTTTTATATATTTGTTTTAATCCGAAATAAAACAAATATATTGTTGTATGATGTTTTAAACAGTAATCAGAAACATGTTTAGTAATGTTTACTTGTTGTAAAAATTTTGGAAGCAAAAATATAAAAGCATGTTTAGTAATAAAGTGTTGCAAGTTTTAAAAAATAACGACTAGTTTAAAAAGGTCATTTATAAGGTATTATTCATTGCTACAGTAACCGTTATTAGAGTGCGGAAACTCGTAAAAATATTAAATTGGTGTTTCGACTTTTGATCATTATTCACGAAAAGTTTTAACACTTTACAAAACAATATACTTTTTACTAAACACATTTTTTTCAATATTCATTGTTATAGTACCCTACAAATATAAAAACACTATAAACAAAACATGAACCGAACTGACCCTAAGACTTCTCATTTGAGAAGGGGAACTTATATTATGTATAATGTATTTACACAATACAAACATTATACAAATATGTGGTGTTCAATAAGATATTAGCACCAACAAAAATATCTTCCTTTTAACTTTTAGAAATATCATATATATATATATATATAGGCATGGTGTAAGCAAAATATTTAACATGTAGAACAGGACTATCACCCACCACATCAGTGAAAATAACTAGATTTGAAATTTTACTTGACAAGATAGGACAAGAAAGATGACAACTTGCAAGCTTTTGCTCTAAATTTGTCTCACAATCCCCCAACAAGCTGGGGAATTTTATAACCATGGGACCAAAAACACACTAAGAGGAATATTGATTGTTCAAGAATGAAAGATGCCATATTGATTGTTCAAGAATGAAAGATGCCATAGTCTAGGTGTCAAAAACATCTACTATTAATTTCAAACTTCTTCTCAAAACAACAGAAGAATATTTCTTTACCATTGCATCAAAGTAAATAGAATGCACCATTCACAACATATATATATATATATCCATCATTGGAGCTTAGATATCATTAATGATTAATACAAAGCATAATCTCTAACAAATTGTCAAACACTACAAGTCAAAAGCAAAAAAAATAAGCAGAATGTCAAATGAGGAACATCTTGATTTTTTTTTATTTTTTATTTATCCTCACAAATTAGTGAAAAACTAGGAAAATAGAGGACTTGAATACAGGTGCACCCATTTAGAATTGGACGCTCTATTAACTAGGTCACTGAAAAAAACACAATCAAAAAAAGGTCATCCTTATAGACTACAAACAACCAAAAAGGTTAGACCGATCACTCAAAATTACACGATTTCATGTTATTAGCCCAATTGTTTCGAACTGCCTCCTAAGGTTGGCAAATTGTAAATACAACATCTCAGAATAGCAAACCATGACATAAATTAACAAACAAATATCATGTTGCTATAATAGTCGCACAATTATCATCGATTGAAATAGGTCGACGTCCGCAAATTTCAAAACCACCTTACTCACAGGATAAAATTAGATAGCTATGACCTAATTGTCATAATTCAACTTCATTATCTTTATTATTTTTATAATTAAACATCGTGGATTGGCATCATTACTGGTAGGTGACGTCAAATGGATGTTTGATGTTTGAAAGGGATGGGATTTAGTTGATATACGCTGGATAGTTGATGCCAAAAATGCATCATAATCCAGATATGACTATAAAAAGTGCTACAAGTTGCCAAATAGCATCTCAGTGGTGTGATTCTTGCATATCTTTAATTTCATTGTGGGTGGGTCTATTGATGTTAATGTGTATATATATATAATACACAAAAAAACAAAAAAAAATGCTATATATACAGGGAGCTAAATTTTTATAACTAAAAACTCCCCAACAAGTTAGGTTAAATATAGGGTCGATTCCTTGCTCAACCTTTTATATATATATATATATAATACATAAAAAAAAGATGCTATATATATAGGGAGCTAAATTTTTATAACTAAAAACTCCCCAACAAGTTAGGTTAAATATAGGGTCGATTCCTTGCTCAACCTTATATATATATATATATATAATACATAAAAAAAAAAGATGCTATATATATAGGGAGCTAAATTTTTATAACTACAAACTCCCCAACAAGTTAGGTTAAATATAGGGTCGATTCCTTGCTCAACCTTATTCACGTGAGATCAACAACTTTGTTGGTAGTCAATGGACATAACCATCTATATCCACTTGGCTCAACTAACCTAGCTTTGTTGGATTTGGAAATAACTCGGAAAAATATTAGTAGGATAAAATCCAAAAAATTCTCTTGAATTATTTCATATGTGAGCATTCCCTGAATATATATAGGCTTAATTTTTTAAAAAAAAATTCTCCTAAATTATATACATAAAAAAAAATGCAAATTACTCCCTCTGTCATT